CTTTCTTTCTCCTTCCTTCTACTCACTCCCACGTCCTTCCTTCCTTCTTTCCTTCCTCTTTTCTATCTTCTATCATTTCTCTCCTTCCTTTCATTCTTCTTCCCTTTTTCTCTCCTCCTTCCCTCTCCTTTTTCTTGGTCACAAATCTCATTTTGTAACATATCTCCTCAACAGAAATCCTGCTATTGGGCCTACAAAACAACAACCACCCACTTCAGCCCCAGTCTCTTCCGATGAAGATCAGGGAGCTGAAGACTCTTCCTCGACAGTCCCCTCCCTCCCACCCACCCATTCCCCTTCCATTAACCCAGGATCTCCTGTTGGGCCTCCAATCCCTCTTGCTCCTATCCAACAGGAAAGAAATTCTGCCCATTTGCCATGTGGCCAGAAAAGCCGCTGCCCGTGAGGTGCCTCGGTGGTTGCCAATTAAGTAAATAGCCCGAGGCCCCTAAACCAGCTCAGTCTACTCTGCTCCAGGCAGGGAGCCTTGTTTGATGCTAGAGATTTCCTCCCTACCCCGCCGTGTCTGAATGCTCCAATTCCAGACCTTGGCCGTTTTAAGACTCGGCAAGTTTAAGATAGGTGGACTTCAACTCCCGGAATTCTTTGGAACAAATGCATTCTTTTTTATATGTAAACCTATTGTGGCCGTCTTACTCTCTTATAATCCCTTCCTCTGCAATTTCTCTGTTCTAGGGAGTAGGAGGGGGGGTAAAAACAGGCATGCAGTGGCTGAGAAATACTGGGAGTTGACGTTCACAAATCTTAAAGTGGCCAAAGTTAGACACCCTTGATCTAGATCAAGGGTAGTCAACCTTTTTATACCTACCACCTACTTTTGTATCTCTGTTAGTAGTAAAATTTTCTCTAACCGCCCACCGGTTCCACAGTAATGGTGATTTATAAAGTAGGGGACAAAACCCCTACTGCCCACCATGAAAGCTGGAACTCCCACTAGTGGGTGGTAGGGACCAGGTTGACTACCACTGATCTAGATCCAGGAATTTCCCAGGGAAACTGGGCCTCTCTTTTCGGCTGCAGGTCCAGCAGTTATGAGCCTAGCGAAGAAGCCCATCGTGCAAATTCCCATCGGGAAAGTCGGCCTTGGATTCTTTCAAGATGTATCCCAGAGCCACAGCCGACACAGGACCCCAACTTTTGTGGGGTGCTATGGGCAGATCAACCTCTCCTCTCTTTACTCTACAGGACCCACAAAAGCTCTTTCTCTACTACCTTTCTCTAAGCCGTTTTGTCCAAAATGTCTCAAAATGGTTTCCGGAGGTCCATGGGGTTGCATCTATCCCTGGTCCTTCAGGACAGGGGAGAACCAAACGCAAAGCCTTTGAGATATTTACAGATTGGGTCAAGTGTGCAAACATGAGGAACTCACGTCACCAGGAAGAAAGAGAGATTCCTCTTTCCAGTCAAACCCAGTGGTGGGATTCAGCTGGTTCACAGCGGTTGGGGAGAACCGGTTGTTAAAGTTCCCGAGCAGTTTGGTGAACTGGTTGTTGGAAGAAATCATGAGGGGCAGAGAACCGATTGTTAAATTATTGGAATCCCACCACTGGGACTCAACCCCCTTTCTTCTCCTCTTCCTGCCCTCTTTCTTTTAAAACAAATTCATGGTTGATTAAGGTCTTGGTCAATTCTCGAGAAAAAAAAATCCACTTTAAAATTACAAATACAGGACAAGACGGCCTAAAAGAATTTTCTACTTCCTTACTTCCTCACACCTCATTTTACAACCTGTTTTTGCTACAACCGTCCCAAGTACCGACAACTCGAATTGTGATCACATGACCACAGGGCTGCTGCAAACAAATCTGATAATAAATAAATCTGAGGGTCACCCTTTTTTTCCCCATCACAACCTCAAATGAATTGTTGTCCATCATGGACTCCCCGTACGTGTACACAGCCATTTAGTGACTGTTTGAAGTGAAAAATCCTATGACTGTTTTGCACACTTAACTACTGCAAGTGATTCACTAAACAACAGGGGGAAGCAAAGTCATAAAACAAGGTGACAACCATCAGCAGCCAAAATTTTGGGCTCAATTGCAGTCTACCTGTACAATTCCCACACCCAGCTAAAGCACTTTTTTTAAAAAAGCAAAATATCTCGTAAGCCCCTCTGTCTATTGATCTACTTGGATAAAGGGCATTTTCCCCCTTCCCTAAAAATGGAGAGAGAGAGAGAAAAAAAAGAGGAGAAGCTAAAGAAAGAAGGAAACTGAACCACTGCTGAAAACTGTGAAGATTGTTTTGGGGGAAAACAAGAAGGGAAGACAGGGGCTTTTTAGTTCGAAGAGAAGACCCAAAAAAGCAAAAGCAAAAAAAAAGCAGGGAGTTGGCCAAAATTCATACATCTAATATTTCATTTGTTCTGGGTTTTGTTTTGTTTTTGTTTTTTGTTTATTTAAAAGAAGGAGGAGGAGGAGGAGGAGGAGGAGGAGGAGGAGTTGTTTAAAAACCAAAAAACGAAAAAGGAAAATATTTTTGTTTTTTGTTTTTAAAAAAAGCAAGATTGTGAAACATGCAGAAAAAGAATACCTTCGTCTGGAGTGGGATTGTTAGCTGATGCTTCCTCATGCTTTTTTGTGAGTGGACCTACGAACAAGAAAAAAGAAGAAAAAGGAAAAATGGGACAGGGGAAAAAAAAGAGAGAGAAAGATCAAGGAAAAAAAAGAGATTTTTTTTTTTTGGTGCATCAAAAAGGGGAAAAAAACTTTTTTTTTTAGCAAAATACAAACAATCTTTAGGGCTGTTTTTTTGTTCGTACGTTTGTTTCATTTGCTGGAATTCCGTATCACATGTGTGTGCGTGTGTGTGTAGGCACGAGAGCGATTTACTTTGTTATTTTTATTTTCCCCACCCCAAAAAAATAATACACACACACACACAAACACAAAAAGCTGTTAAATGAAAGGCTGGTTACAGAGGAAGCAAATCGGGCAATGGGGGAGATGGTTAAATTTGGGGAACGGACAGAAACCAATTGCCTTGGAGACCCCCTTCCCAAGAGTGGGAAAATGAGGGGTTCCAATCCTACTACTTTTTTGTTTGTTTGTATTGTTCTGTTTTGTTTTCCTAGCTGTGCATTTCACAAGAGGTGGACAGGTAGAGATGTTCAATTGGGGGTGGAAACCCAGATGATTCGTGGGTTGAAAAGGCTGTGCCACTTTGGACTCCCTGCCCCCAGAGATCTTGAAACTTGGCCACTTTAAGACCTGTGGACTTCGACTCCCAGAATTCCCCAGCCAAGTTCTTTTTCCCCCCACTTCCCTGACTTTAAGATATATTACGTCTGCTGCATTCCCAATGAAGTCCACAAGACTTAAAAGTGGCCAAGGTAGGAGACCCTACTATAAAGTTAATGCAAACCATCGAGGAAAAACAGGATGCCAATTTGCAGTGATCTACTAGATTCTATACATCAATCTATTCTATACATAGTTTCTATGCTCCAAATGTGACCATTTTAAGACCTGTGGACTTCAACTCCCAGAATTCCCTAGCCAAGTTCTTTTTCCCCCACTTCCTTAACTTCAAGATATATTACGTCTATTGCATGCCCACCATCTATTAAGTATTTTTTTAAAAAAATGCAATAGTCTATCTGTTCTTGTCCAATCCTTGCTGAATTCTGGCAAACCCTTGCCGGCTGGGGAATTCTGGGAGTCGAAGTCCACAGGTCTTAAAAGTGGCCAAGGTTGGGAGACCTGCTATAAAGTTAATGAATCTAGGAAAAGCAGTGCCAAGGGATGCCAATTGCCAATGGTCCACTATTCTATACATCAAGGCTCTCCAAATTTGACCACTTTAAGACCTGTGGACTTCAACTCCCACAATTCCCCAGCCATGTTCTTTTTTTCCCACTTCCCTGACTTTAAGATATTTTACATCTACCGCATTCCCACCGTCTATTAAGTAAGTTATCCTTTCCCCCCCCCAAAAAAATGTGATAACGATAGTTCTAGCCACAGTTGTTCTATCCATGCTGAATTCTGGCCAATCCTTGCCAGCTGGGGGAATTCTGGGACTTGAAGTCCACAAGTCTTAAAAGTGGCCACCTTTGGAGACAAACACCGCCCCCTCAATTAACCAATTAACCTGCCAGGATGACACCGGAAAAACAGACCCAAGGGCTAATGCAGGGGCCTGCAACCTTAAACACACAAAGAGCCATTTGGACCCATTTCCCACAGAAAAGAAAACACCGGGAGCCTCAAAACCTGGGTGGGTGTGGCCAACTCGACATCACTCACTACCACCCAGTTGTCGCGTCCTGCTCTGGAATATGGAGAGAGTCTCCATCATCCACCATCCCCCTTACCTTCTCAGGCCAGGTGAGGAGGGACAGGGAGGGGAAGGGACAGCCAGTGGTGGGATCGGCTGAGAAGGAGAGTCAGCAGAGGGCTGAGAGAGCCACATGTGGCTCCGGAGCCGCAGGTTGACAACTCCTTTGATGCAAAGGACTTTTGCTTAGAGGGGGGAAAAAGGCTGGATTATTGGGGTACCGAGCCAAGAAACATAGAAAACTGGGGTGGGGGGCCAGGAGTCAAAACAATCAAGATGGCAACCACAACTGCAGGCCGGTTGTGCATGCAACGCACTGACAAAAGAAGGGAGGCTTCCATCAGGACCAGACAGGCTGCTCGGATTACGGAAGGGAGGAAGCCCTGGAGGGACAAGGATGGTTTATGTAGTCTTTTTCAAAATTGGGAGAAGCTTCTAACAAAGTTCTCCATCTTCGTCTCAATCCCCCGCCCCCCCCGCCCCCCCCCCAAAAAAAATCCCCATCCAAATAGATGGGAAAGTGAGATTCTGGCCTCTGGGGTCCCCTCAGAAAGTGTTGTGGTTACCAGTAGCAGGTGTGGATGGCTGAGGACAGCGAGGACTCAGATGAGGGGCCAGGACCATCAGGGAGTTAGTTGACTGTTGCCTTCAGAGATTGTGGGGGCTGGCAGCAGCGCTGAGGAGGTCCCCGAGGAGCCTGTGCCCAGGGTGCATGCACGCAGGGCTGCTCGTAGGAAAGACAAGCTGAAGCAGCACAAGCGACTCAGGAGTAAGGCTGCAAGGTAACGGCCCCTCCTTCAAGAAGATAAAAGCCAGCTGTGAAGCGGATGGTTTTTGCAGGAAGCAAAGAAGTTTTGAAACTCAGCCTCGTGGACATTCCAGTATCTTAAGTTGGTATTTGAAAACTCTTGTTTTGTGAAATATTTCTTATCGGTGATTCTTGGCAGTCTTGCACAGTTGTGGCAAGGCTCGTGCTTATCAAAGTTAATTAGTTTGCAGCAGCCTTTTAACTGGGGATTCGTTAAGACTCATTAAAAGGTTTCTGTTCCCTTTGGCTCGTGTTGGTTTTATTGGACAAGGGTTTGGGTCAGAACAGAATGGCTCACATACACATCCCCCGCACACTCCATTTTGTCCCTTTCTTTTCCGGGGCGCTCCACATTGGCAAGAGGCCCTCAACAACTCATCCAACCTGGCTTGTCCCCGGTCCGAGGAACTGCAAGCTTCTACCTTCTCCAGCCAGGGGAGGCAGTGGAGGATGGGTACTACTAGCTACTGGGATGGGAAAGGCGGACTGATATTGTGGGGGAAGGGGGCCCAGCAAGGATGGGCCAGAGGGGACATCAGGGGAAGGGGGAAGAGGGGGGATTTTGCACCCCCTCCTCCCAGCTCCGTTGGCCTTCACGGGTACAAATTCTCCCCCAGCTCTGTTGGGTCAAGTAGGGGGAGAGGGTCCCCTTCCTTTCTCTGCCCTATATGGGGATGCTGTGTGTGTGTGAAGACAGGACCATCTTAGAACAGAGTTGGAAGGGACCTTAGAGGTCTTCTAGTCCAACCCCCTACCCCGCCTAGGCAGGAAACCCTACACCCCTTCAATCTTCAACCAAGAGACCAGGGAGAGGAGGGGAAAAAAGCAGAAGTAGGTTGCAAGAGAAACCTCCACAGCACACACACCCCAAAACTCCCCTCATCCTTTCCAACTGCCCTGCCATCCTCTTCCTCCCCCCCCCCAAAAAAAAGTCCTGGGAATTGTAGTCTTTCTCACTTTTCCTTCCCAAACTATAATTCCCAGGGTGCTCCGATTTGGGTACACAGCTTCCTTCCCTAGCTTGCTGGCCTTCTGAATTCATTTCCCCTCCAGATGTGCTAGACCACAACCCCCATCGTCCCCCACCGAGGGGGGGGGGCGATCCAGGGGGGAGCACCTGATCCAGGAGTTGGCTATCCTTCCCTGGAACTGCAAAAAAAAAAAAGGATCGCCTCGTTTGAAGACGTTCAGGGAGGGATCCCCAGAACGTCTGTTCAAAAGGGATCTACTGGGCAATTAAACCAAATTAATCCCGCAATGCTTTTATTTAAAGCTCTGGAAAACATAGTGAACGCCCCCCCAAAATATTTTTTGCAAAATTGCAGCTGGGAGAATTTCCTTATATAGGTTATTTTTTGGGGGGGGGAGTTTTGCGGGTAGAGGACCAGAATCCCTCGACTTACAACTGTCCAAAGTTACAGCGTTGGAAAAAAGTGCCCTGCGATCGGTCCTCGCGCTCATGACCATTATTTCTCTTGTATTTAGGACGGTCGCAGAGTCCGGGAGAGTGGGGGTGTCACGTGAGCCCCTTCGGTGACCTAATCTTAGTGATTCGCTTAACGTCTTGCGGCGAGCGAGGGCCAGGCCCCTGCTTTAAAGGTCTGGTCTTGTTTAGCGATGGAAATGGTGGTCGTAAGCCTAGAAACTCCAAGGCTCCAATTCCCCCCCCCCCCAATGAATTATTTTTGGGGGGTCTGACTTTTAATTATTAGGGGAGAACATCCAAACCAGATTTCTTTAAGGGCATATTGGGGAGGGCGGTCTGTGCTTTTCTTGACTAAGCAGGAATTGCAGGGGGTGGGGAGGGGGAGGAGAAGGAAAGGGGGTGGATGGGAAGAACCCTGGAAAAGTCTTTCATCCTGTCTGCTGCAAACATCGCTTCAAAGGGGCATGGGAAGGGGAGGAGGAGGAAGGAGGAAGAGAGAGGGGGAGGAAGAGGAAGGAAAAAGGAGGAAGAGGAGATGGAAGAGGAGGAGATGGAAGAGAAAGAAGGGAGAAGGAAGAAGAGGATGGGGGAGGAAGACGGAGAAGAGGAGGGGGAACATGGGGCAGGAGGAGTGGGAGAGGAAGGAGATGGAGAAGACGGAGGAGGAGGAAGGGAGGAGAGGAAGGAGGAGATGGAGGAGGAAGGAGGGAGAAGGAAGTGGAAGAGGAGGACAGGAGGAAGACAGGGAGGAGGGGGAAGGGAGAGGAGGAGTAGGAAGATGGGGCAGGAGGAAGGGGAGAGGAAGGAGGAGATGGAGAAGATGGAGGAGGAAGGAGGGAGAAGGAAGAAGGAAAAGAAGGAGGAGGAGAAAGATGGGGCAGGAGGAGGGGGAGAGTAAAGAGGAGATGGAGGTGGAGGGAAGGAAAGGAAAGGCAGGAGAGGAGGAGAAAAAGGAGGAGGAAGAGGAGGAGGAAGGGGAGAGGAAAGAGGAGATGGAGGCGGAGAGAAGGAAAGGAAAGGCAGGAGAGGAGGAAGAAGAGGAGGGAGGAAGGGGCTGACTCTGGAGCCCAATTTTTCCAAATTAAAGCCATTTTTCACCTGGTGTAAATTTGCTCAGCAGAAACCCTCCTGCCTCCCCATGCAGGAGAGGAGTGTTGGGGGGGTTAGGAAAGAGGACTCTGCTGCCTTCCCTTCCCCAACCACGGGGACCCCCCTCCCCACAAGACCCTTGGACAGAGGGGGAGGCTGTCCTGCAAACAAACATCAAGGATGAGAATCTGCAGAGGGCTGAGGAGGGGGGGTGTCAGAGAAGGGGGGGTGAAAAGGGGGAGGACGGGGAGGGGGGGAAGAGAAGAGATTTGGGGGGTCTGCACCCCCCACCCCCCTCAGCAGCAGCATCAAAAAAGGGGGGGAGACTCAGCTGTCTGTTTTTTACTATCTCCCATTTTGCCTGAGCTGGGATTTTTTTCCCCGTTGCCACGGCAACCTGACTTAGCAGCACTGCAAAAGAAAGGGTGGCGGCCTAGGAAATTGGGGAAGGGGGGGAAACACCCCAGCAGGAAGGCAGGGGAGGGGAGGGGAGGAAAGTCTCACGCACGCGGCTGCTTCGAAGCCAGTCGACTTGCGACGGACGGTGCGTTTAGGGGCAGCCCTCCATCCCTCTGGGATCAAACACGGGGACCCTTGGCAAACTCGTCTTTACGAGGGTCGAGGGTCGTAGGATTTCCCTCCCCGGGGTGGGGGTGGAGGGGTTTCAGGCGATCCCCCTTTTGCGACCGTCGGCAGGCCGCCTCGCTCCTTTCCAAATGGCGGGGATTTCCCTTCAGCAAGGGTGGCGAGGAAAGGGTCGTAAAACGGGGCCAAACTCAGCAGGACACGTGCCTCGCTTAGCGACGGAGATGTTGGGCTCCATCGCGGTCGTAAGTTGAGGACTAGCTGCATTAATATTTGATACCTTTTTAAATCTTCAGCTGACTGAGTTTCATGTTCAATGAATAAAAGTTTGTAATAATAATAATAATAGATACATTTTTAAATGTTCAGCTGACTTTCATGGTTAATGAATAA